AGAGAGAGAGAGAGAGAGAGAGACAGAGACAGAGAGACAGAGAGAGACAGAGAGACAGAGAGAGAGAGACAGAGAGAGAGAGACAGAGAGAGACAGAGACAGAGAGCACCAGGCATAATGTTGACGTTGTTACATGGCGTATCTCAGTGAGACATTCTAGATAACACACATGGCTTACCTTGAGTGACAATCTGGCTTTGCCTCCTTCATGGACTTGTTTTGGCCTTGGAGGATTACTTTTGTGGTACAGCTTTATTTCTTGGGAAGTGGAAGAAGCAGTAAACTCCTGTTGACCATGGTTAGATGGCCATTTGTTTTTACCTGAGAATTATCCTGCATGCCACAGATGGGTTGCTTGAATGAAATGCACTGGATTTGAGGTGAAAGCTATTGAATTAACTACAGTTCGAGCTGAGAAGTGACCAGATTATTCAGTGCCCAGGGTTAATTTCAACATTAGCTCTTGTGGAATAGTTGGACAGAGCTGGTTCTCTGGGCTTCCGTCTGCTCTATGCTGTCCTCCATGGCTGTGGACCTGCACATGTTGTGCACAAGATGATTTTTGTTTTTTTTAAATCCACAACAGTAGAAAACTATTATCTTGTAGATCAGTTGTGAGGATTAAATGTGTTAATATATTAAAAAGTTCTGTGATCTGTCCTTGATTTTGTCCTTTAACTTTGAAATGATGGAACGGAGAGTTGTAGTTTCCCCTTTGTTTGCAGCAGGTCTAGGTGAGGGCATGAACAGAGAGGGCCCGGCCACAACCCACTTAGAATGCCCACCCTGTACCACCAGGTGTGACTCCCAGCGGGAATTACATAGCATCTTAACACAATGGCAGAGCCCCATAGAGCTCTGGATTTTCCTGCGATGATTACTTCAGTGCTTAAAATATTAAGCATATTTGTTTTCAAAAAGTATCTTCTGCTGCTCTCTTGGTCCCTGGAGAATTCTTTGTGTGCCAACTGGTTAACTGAGGAGTGGGCTAGAATGGCTGAGAGTACTGCTTGGCCTGGCTTGGGGGCCTTAGGATGGCAATGGACAGATAGAAGGACTGAAAGAAGAGAAGCTTATTTTGGCTCATGGTTTCAGAGGTTTCTGCTCATGGTCGGTTGGCTCCGTTCCTTTGGGCCTCAGGGCAGGCAGCACATCATGGCAGGAGGGTGTGGGAAAGGAAGGTTTTTCATCTTGTGCCAACCAAGAAGAGAGAAAAGGACCCCCAAAAGGAAGGGAGTGGGGACCAGATAAAGTCCCCAAGATCTTGCCATATGACCCATTCTCTTTGACTAGGCCCCACCTGTTTCTGTCACCTCCCAATAATGCTATGTAATTACAATCTTACCAGTGGACTAATCCACTGAGGAAGTTAGAATGTTTATGGTCCAGGCTCCTTTCAGAAGGGGACCAAGTCCTTTGATCACATGAGACTTTGGGGGTACATTTTAGATCTGAGATATCACATGGAAACTTGGTCCATGGCCTTCTATTCCCCATCTTCAAATTCTAGATTCCTTCTAATCTAAGACTTCATTGATTAGAAACATTAGCAATTTAATGATTTTTTTTTTTAGGGGGATGGGAGTGTATAGCACAACTACATGAGGTGATGCTATTGGTACATAGGAAATTGAATGAAATTTTATCTTAGCATTAAAGAAGAGAGGTAGTGCTCATGTAATAGCACCTATGCTTGGGTTTTGTGACATCTGAATGAGGCCACACTGTGTACAGTTCGGGCAGGGGCTGGTATGCAGTGAGATCTGAGTGAATGGCAGCAGTGATTGGTGACACCAAGCGCTTCTTGGCAAGTGGAGTCTTGATAATCTTCCAATCGAACTCAGTATTCACTGAGCACTTACTGGGTACTCAGGTACTTGGTCACTTAAAAATACATACTAAGTCACAAAGACTAATGGGAGGTCTATTAAAATAAGTCAATGAGTTCTTATTTTTAGAGTAAGTATCCTGATTTCTCTAATGGATTTTGTGTTCTCTCTCTCTCTCTCTCTCTCTCTCTCTCTCTCTCTCTCTCTCTCCTTGCAGAATCTAGTTATCAAAACGAAATAAGGTAAGTTTGAAATGACCTTACTTTTTGAAAACCAAACCACCACTGCCACTAACATATCTACACATATAACTGTGAGATTTTAGGATGTATGATATTCAAAATTAAGTTCTGAAGATAGACAACTTTGAAAAACTCATATATAGTTCATGGGCTCACTGGATAGCTTTAACTGTAGAACAGTTTAGGTAGGTAGCCTCCTGGTGTTGACCTCAAGTCACTTAGGGCGGATCTGGTTTTCTTAACAGCTGCCATTTACAGTTCTTCCTACTAGAGGGCACTGTGGATTGTGACTGTGCGCCTGCTTTGTGTCAAGGCTGGGGTGGGGACACTGGCAGAGGTTTTGTCGGCATTCTGAAGATAGCAGAGAACAGTGGTCTGAGTTGGAGAGATGCCTGTAGTGCACAAGGTGCTGTTTAGGCAGATAGATTATGTGCTGTTTACTGCTTGCCCTACTGATGGGAGAGGGCAGGGTTAAGCCGCCCCTGCCATTCCACTCTGTCCAGCAATAGCTGTGGGCACTGTGAGGGTAGTAGAGTCAGAGCTTACACCATTCTATGTGAACCAGTGTAAATGACCACAGTCCTTTCATAGTCAAAGATACATAAAGAGGAGAGTGTTAGACAGTCATTGGGAGTGTTCTAACAGCCACAGCTAGTTACGTGCATCAATTTGAACTGCCTGTATACTGAGGTTTTATTTTATTTTTGTTCTATTTTATTTTATTTTATTTTTTGTGGCTGGCTCAGCCTGCCCTGGGGGTGGGGCTGGCATAGTATGTGGTGCTGGAGATCAAACCTAAGCTTGCACTTGCCTAAGCTTGCTGAAGCAGACACTTTAGACTCCTGAGCTATCTTGCAGGCCCTATAATGAGGTTTTAAAACTTCTTTAGACTGCATACAGTACAGTGGCCAAATGTGTAATCCTTGAGTAACAAAATGATGTGCACCTCAGAGAGATGGCTGCCCCAGCGAGGCTTGATTTGGCAGCACATCTGTAATGAACAAGAATCCCCCAGCAGCCCTTGGGCTTGGCTTGGGCACAAGAAGAGGGAGGAAAGCCATTAAGTATTTATCTGGTGCTTCTGTTGATGGTGGCTACCAGCAGGACCACAGCCTGAATTCTTTGATCCACCATTGTTGACTGTGTTAGTATCCTGTTTCTGGGCTGTGTGTGTTTGTGTGTGTGTGTGTGTGTGTGTGTGTGAGTGTGTGTGTGTGTGTGTGTGTGTGTGTGTGAGTGTGTGTGTGTGTGTGTGTGTGTGTGTGAGAAAGAGAGAGAGAGAGAGAGAGAGAGAGAGAGAGAGAGAGAGAGATAGTTCAAAGCTCAGGAAAACAACCAAAAGCTGTTTAGAATAAAAGTTGAGTATAAAATAGCAACAGTACAATGAGGATGGTAACCACAATAGCAGCTCATATGCTTTATCCTTAAGCTCTGTAGAGGTGCATAATCTTACTTAATTCCTATAGCTATTTTATAGGACTGTTTTTCCACTTTTGGACTTGAGGTTACTGAAGTGCAGGGAGGTTAATTAGCCCTAGTGTTGCCCTGTAGACAGTGGAGTGTCAGCTTATGGCCGGCAGCTCTGCTATGAGCTGGGCCCCTTGTCTGGGTATAGCTCCAGCGATGGATGCCCATGTACCTGCTTGAAGGAAGACACCACTCACGAGCTGACCACATGTGATGCTTTTCCCTTCCTGTGTGTCCCCCATGCAGATGCCAGTTACCACAGGCATCACTTACACTGAAATAACTTCGTGTTCCCCTTATAGGATCAGCGCATGTGTAGTAGAGAAAAAATTAGACATTAAGATAAGAAGTAGGACTAAGGGGCTGGTGAGATGACTCAGTGGTCTAAAGCACCTACTTGGAACAAGCTTAGCAAAGCACAGGGACCGCGGTTCAATCCCCCAGCACCACATGCCAGCCAGGCCCGCCCCCTGGTGGGCTGAGCTGGCCACACACACACACAAAAAAAAATAAATAAATAAAATTAAAAAAAAAAAAAGTAGGACTAAAATCACCCAATTTTACTGTCTAGAAGTACTGATTCAAGTATGTAGGTAGTACTTAAAGGTATTTGTGTTCATGTATGTACACAGAGACAGACACACATAAGTAGGCATTTTGTAAAATGTAGCTCAGTACAAAGGCTCTAGGTTCAATCCCTAGTACCAGGAAGAAAACAAAAAAAAAGCAAAACAACAACAACAACAAAATGCTTTCCATGTAACCATGGAGACCTGGTTCCCACCACTGATTAACACTTGACTTTGTCAAATGTTCTAATTCTAGGAAATCTGCAAACTTGAAGACAAACACGGGAGCTCTTGAGACAAAGACGAAAAGTGGGAACGAAAACTATGGCTACAGCTCTGATGAGCCAAGGAGTACACGTGAGTAGCGGGTGGAGCAGTAGAAAGAGCTAGATGAAAGTGCAGAAAGTCAGGCTGCCTGACCAGATGCCAGTTTCCTAGGGAAGACCGCCCAGCATCAGTGGGAATTATTTTTTGAGTCAGTTTTAAAAGGAGAAATTCTAGAATTAGGAACACCTAGGAGTAGGTTCACCGAAAAAAAAAAAAAAAAAAAAAAAAGCCAAGATTGTCTAAAGTTTAAAATAAAGTGAGGTAAAATAACAGTAGTCAGGAGACTGAGGCAGGAGGATCACTGTGAGTTCAAGGCCAGTCTGAGCTACAAGGGAGCTCACTGCCAACCTGAACTGCATAATGAGACCCTGTCACAAAAAGACAGTGAGTTTGAGGCCAGCCTCAATTATACAAAGAGACCCTGTCTGACAAAAAAGGGCCGAGGGTGTAGCTCAGTGGAAGGGCCTCTCGCATATGAGATAATGTTTTACTATTGAGTATATGTCATCAGACCTTAAGCAAGTATCTTTTTAAATTACTTTGTATTTGGCAATTAAGTGGTGGGGTACAGTACCACTGAACTACGTCCCCAGCCCTCCACCATTAAAAAAAAAATTCCTGGGGCTGGGGAGATATCTCAGGGGAATAAGTGTTTGCCTGGCAAGCACAAGGTCCTGAGTTTGATCCCTGGTACCAAAAAAAAAAAAAAAAAAAAAAATTACACAGGGTCTTGCTAAGCTGCCATGATAGAATTTGAACTTGTAACTTTCCTGACCCAGTTTCTCTCAGTGCTAGGATTACAGGCTATGACACCACAACCAGCTTTTAAATCAAGTATCTTAACCAAAATAAGGGCTCAAACCAAAACTCTCTGCCTCTCCTTTCTCCCATGTGCCCAGTGTTCATTTCCCTGGTCAGCTAAGGAAGCCATGGATTCATCTTTGCTTTGGATGAGATTTATGTGTCAAAAAAGGAATAATTAATTTTGAGTCAGTTTTCCCTATTTTTATTTCATTACAAAATGAAGTTCTAAAACTATAATCTCAAGAAGTTTTTTTAAAAAGTCTATTTATGATGGTTTTAGCTGTCGCTGTGACAAAATACCTGAGATAAAAATTTATAGAACAGAAAGGTCTGTTTTAGTTCATGATTTGAGAGGTTCCCATCCCAAACTGTCCTCATTGCTTTTGGGTCTGTAGCAAAGCAAAATATCACTGCAGGGGGAGTGTGGCAGAGCCAAGATTCTTACCCTGAGGAGCCAGGAAACAAAGAGAAACAGGAGGGATGGGGTCTCAATAGTTCCTTTGAGGCCACACCCCAAGTGACCTCACTTCCTTTCACCAGGCTCCACCTCACAAAGATTCCATCACTTCTGCCAAGCTGAGGACCAAGCCTCAGGATGCACTGGCCGTGGGGGCCATTTTAAATCTAAACTGTAGAAATGGTTAAGGATTATCTCATACCAGAGTTACTGCACAAAAGCAAATTATGAATCATGTTGTTAGGATACACTTGGTTTTTATCACTCATTACACTAAAATCTTCCTTCTATTGCAGACCACGCTCCTCTCCCTCCTAAGTCCAGTGAACTGAACGTTCCAGCCCAGCATAGCAGCAGCCTTTCTCAGCAGGTGATCTAGGCTTTTTTCTTTTTACTTTTCTTTTGCTAATTAGAAATCATCAGCACATAGTAGGTGAATGTTACATGTTCTGCATGGAAGAAGACTGTTCCCCAGCTCCATGTCCCCAGGTCAGGCTGGGGGGTTGGGGTGGGACAGTGAGCCTCTCTTGTCCCTATAGCAGTGGCTCAAAGACCAAGGCTGACGGGATGTGGCTGTCTGGTGCCTGTTTGGGGAGGATGTGGCTTGTGGAGACCTGTCATCCAACACAGCAAAATCATGAGCACTCTATGCCCTTTGCCACTTGTTCTGCTGAGCCAGGTTCTCCCAGGAGTGAGTCAGCTGTGCTCTCCTGGCTCCCTAACCCTCATCAGATGCATGACTGCCCTTGCCCCTTGGGCACTGTGACTTTGGGAAGGATCCTGGGGTTGGGGCCGAGAAGCACACAGAGAAAGCATGGTTTGCTGTTCAAGGAAGGTCTGTGCCCACTGGCTTGACAGCCTGAAAGATCCTATTGGGATTAGAGTTTCTGGGGGAAAGGAGGAGTCCCTGATGATGTAGGGTTATAGCCAGAAAGGCTGGAGTTGCCATGAACTGAAATGGGGAGCATTGTGGGCCAAGTGAATCTGGGGAAAGAGCAGTCAAGAAATCTACATGGGAACATGTGTGTGTGGCTGGATGCTCAGGTCCGCATCCAGGAGAAGCATGTGCTGTGGGTCTTGGTTGTCAAGCGGTGTGTGGACTGACATGACTGCAAGTAGTCAACCAGGAACCTCAAGAAGATACTACATTAATCTCGGATATGGAGTCATCCCATATATAAATGAACTAGAGCTGATTGGCAGAAAAGAAGGTTTCTCATATCCAAAAATCATATTGGGCAAAACAAACATAACCAGCACCCTTCTCTGACCAGCACCCTTCTCAAAACCAGCACAACTTCTCGGGTTGTACAGATGCAACCTCAGGTGAGAAGTATTTCAGGGTGATTCTGCAACAGGCTCCCCAGTAAGCATGGGTGCTCCTTTTAGCTTGGGGCAGCACCTCAGGGGCTGATTTCTGAGGAACAGTGGCTCAGATGGTCCAGGGCTTTTCTGCACAGGAGGGCTGCTAGTCTATAGCAACAGTGTCCTGCACATGCCGTGGCAGCCCTGACCATTTTGCTTTGCCATAGCTGTTTATTCTCATTTCCAGGCAGCTCTGGGCTATAATATCCTTCCTGCAACTGGGATACAGCTTATGCGTCCATCCTGCCAGTGGTCAGTGCCTTGCTGGCCTTGAGGGAGGATGGGGAGCTGTGGCTGATGCTCTCCCAAGTAGTAGGTGGACTCTCATCAGTGGTGACAGAGTGGCCAGGTGGGAAGGCTGGTGAATAGAAGGTGTAAGAAGAAGGTGGGGCTGAGTGACAGGTCACTGGCCCCCAGCGTGAGTTCCATCTGCTTTATCAGCTAGCTGTGAGGACAATGGAGAGGTAAATTCTTTCCATCAGGGGAGATCTCTTTGGCTCATCCACCTTCTGATGGCTTTCCTCTGGACGTGGTGGGGGGGGAATACTCTAGAAATTTGACTGGGTTCCTTTAGAGGCAATGGTGACTAATAGGAGTGATGGTTACCCTGTGAGGGCTGTTGCTTGTCAAGACCCCATGTCTAGGGCCAGCCAGATGGCCCAGTGGACTAAAGCACCTGCTTAGGCAGAGCACAGTGGCTGGGCTCAATCCCCAATGTGCTGTGCCAGCCCCGCCCCGGGGGCAGGCTGAGATAGCAATTGAGACTCTGCATAGTGGTGTGCACCTGTAATCCCAGCCCTTGGGAGGCTGAAAATAGGAGGATCACTATGAGTCCGATCTACTTAGTAAGACCCTGTAGACCTTGTAATAAATACATTTAAAAAAAAAAAAAAAAAAGACCCCATGCCTGGGCTTGGTGGGCTCTCTACCCCCTGGCACTAAACACAGACAGAACCAGAACCTGATTCAGCCAGCTGCTGTTACCCCAACCTTTCTGCTGTTAGGTGTTTCCACTATTGTAACCTAGATGTTTGACTGGGTGGAAATTCAAAATACACACATCAGATCATCTCCTCTGGAGCATTTGCTACAGATGAGGAAGGGAATCCTGGGTGTGTTTGGAAATAGCTCAGATCATGTTGTTTGAAGGGCTGTTTCAAAAACAGGGAGAGAAATTTACACTTGATCTTAGCCAAAAGGCCGAGAAGCGATGGGGAGAGAAATTTAAATTTAAGAGATTGCCACTACTGCAACCTGTCACCAGCTAAATAACCTACTGGTATAAGAAGAGCAGTAGCCATTGAGCCTCTAAGACCTGTGGGTGGCAACACATGCTATGTCCCCAGTCACCTTCTCTACCTGATACCTGAAACATGTAGAAAGAGAGGTTTATTTTGGCTCAAGTCTGCAGAAGCTCCAGTCCATAGCATGGTAGAGGTGCATCAGGAGACAGTTGTCCCTGGCACAGGAGACAGGAAGCAGAAAGCAAGATCACAGGTGGAGTAGGGGAGGGAGACAAGCCCAGGCCACGCCCTAGTGGTTCACTTCCTCCAACCAGGCTCCTACTCTCCAAAGTCCCAGCATCACACTTAGTGATAAACTCATCTTTAGACCAATCCATGGATGAGTACCGTGCACCCATGATCCAATTGCCTCCCTGAAGCCCCACCCTTGAGCACAAGAGGCTTTGGGGGACATCTAGAGCTAAACCATATCCTGGTCCCAAAATGTTTGCAAGACCTCAAGAGAGCTGTGTCTCTGCAGAGTCAGGGTCCTTAAGAAACAAATCAAGACCCAGGAATGAGGGATTGTCTTTGTCTGGGCTGGATGCTGGGAAGGGCTATGGAGCAGCTAGCAGGATCTTTCTAATTCGAGGAGCTTGAGGACAGGCACACCTCTAGACCAGGTCAGTCTTTGAGTTTCCCCCAAAGGCGCCTTCACAGGCAGGGATCCAGCGCAGTGTCCAGAAGATGGTGTAGGGAGCCCGGCTGTGGAGAGTACTATGGGCTCAGCCTGCTGAGAGGACTGGAGGAGCGAAGGAGCCTGGTGGTGCTTGTCCTGAAGCCCTTCGTGAAGTCAGCTGGCCCTTTGGGAGCTGCTGTCAGGAGAGTCTGCAGACAGGCCAGGGTAATGCTTGACACAGGCGTCCTTCCTGTAAGAGCTTCTGTAGCTCTGAGCCCTTCCTGGGCTGTGTGGCCCAGTGATTGCCTGTGTAGGGCAGGGACCAAGCTCAGAGCTCCTCAGACAGCACAGTCTGTGTCTTCCCTCTGTCCTCCTGATTCTGCAGAGCCTTGCTCCCTGGAGGCCCAGGAGAAGCAGCTGAGAGGGGGTCCTGAGCACCTCTCATCTGACCTCCCTGCCTCCATCTGGGAGCCCCTGTGACTTATTTTTCACACAGCCCATGCTGCTGCAGGGTCCACTCATGTGTGCATTTCTCACAGGCCTCTTGGGCCCAGCCCTGCACCTGGTAGGCCTAACTGCTTCCAGAGGAGCTGGCTTGTCTGCTCGGGACTGCTGGCTACAGATTGCGCTGTTTTGTAGAAAATTCTCCCTAAGTGCAGGCTGAAAAGCCTGACCAGCCTGCAACCAGCATGGTTCCCAATCCCAGTGCCAATGAGGGGCTCCTTTTGTCTGTCCTGGGGCGACAAAGTGTGTATGGGAACACCGGGAGCTCCTGGGGCTGGGATCAAATCCAAGGCCTTGCAATCCCTGAAAAGCCCTCCTGTTACTGGGCTACACCCCACCACCTCACTGCATGGGTCACGGCTCCCCACTGGCCTGCAGAACTCCCAGCAGCACAGCACCAGAGCACAGGGGTGCATTATCTGTGGACTGTCAGGTCTCTTCCAGACTTTCTGGAACATGGGGGTATTTTCCTCACGTTTCCTGGGTGATCTGCTTTGAAGAGGATATGTTTACAGACATGGGCATCATCCTTTGTAAGGAAGAATAGAGTTCTAGGGGTTTTCTTACAACTGTGCATTTGGAATCACTTATGCCCACACATCCAAATCACTGAGCTTTCTGCAAAACATGGAAAGATTTGAGATACTTAAGTGTTGAAATGCTCCACCATCCTCACAGCAGTGTGTTTTTTTATTTTTAACCTCCAATGTTTTTATTTTATTTTATTTTATTTTATTTATTTATTTATTATGCGAAACTGGGAATTGAACTCAGACCCTTGCGCTTGCCAGGCAAGCACTTATTCTACTGAGCCATCTCCCCAGCCCCAAACCTCCAATGTTTTATATGTGTCTAGGCATACAACATACCATGTGACTAAAAGAAAAATGGTTTTAGGCTGCAGAAAGCCCAGATATGCATTAAGTGGTAGGAAAAATCAGAAGAGAAGAGGTTGATTTTCACAACTGCTTCTTTCTGTTATGATGGAGTAGTTTCTACTGCAGTTACAGTTTTGACACTGACATTGTTTTCAAGATAAGAGCAGAGTTAACTCAATGTGACAGCAGCTGAAAGATAGATTGGCGCTGAGGACTTTCACAGGTATAAGATTCACTTTGTCACATTACAAACAAATCTGACTTGCCAGGCATGGTGGTGCACACCAAAGCCCCAGCCCTTGGGAGGCTGAGACAGGAGGATCATCATATGTTCTAGGCCAGCCTGGACTGCATGGCAAGCCCATCTCAAAAACAAACAAACAAAAACAAAACAAAACAAAACAAAACCCTACATCTAATGTATGAGTGTTCTACCAGAATGGAACTCATTCATAAGTCAAGGCTTTACCTTACACAAAATTGGTACTTTTTGCCAGAAGTTGCAATCAGTTAATGGGAAAGGCAAGTTCTTTTTTTTTTTTTTTTTTTTTTGTACTTTAGGAAAGGGTCTACAGAGTGTTCAGGGTCTCACTACTAGATTGGACTTGTAGTGATTTGCCTGTTTATAGCCTCCCAAGAGCTGGGATTGTAGGCGCATGCCACCACGCCCAGTGTCAATTGCCGTCTCAGCGCATACTGGGGGCAGGGCTGAAACAGCAGGCCAAGGCATCAAACCCCAGTCCCTGAGCCTGCTTGTAGGCACTTTAATCTGCTGAACTATTTAGCTGGCCCTCAAGTTCTTATTTTAATATGTGGCCATTGTGTTTGCAAAAGTTTTGTGTCTTAATGAATATTTAAAATACATAAACATCCTTCCCTCTCTCTGTTCCTTCACTCAGTCTTTCTGCTTATTTTAGGAGATTCTCTCTTTTTTGAGACAGGGTTTCACCATGCTATTCAGGCTGGCCTTGAGCTCATTTTATAACCTAGGCTGGCCCTGAGCTCGCAGTGATCCTCCTGCCTCAGCCTCCGGAGTGCAGGGATTACAGGTGTGCACTACCACACTCAGCAGGAAATTACCCTTTCCTGTTGGTTTTAGAGGGTGAGATTATAAATGTCTCAAAAACTGCCTTGAGGCCCCCCTACTCACCTTGTGTCCTGCTAGAAAAAAAAACAAACAAACAGAAATTGACTAGTGGTAAATTTATGAAGCAGCAGCCCATGTCTTCACCCTAAGAGTGGGAACAAAAGCAAATGACAGTACAGCTCTGCAGGGTCCACAGCACAAGGCTGAAATAGTACCCTGCGTGGCCGGATTCCTTGGGCTTAATTTATTCCAGCTGGAGCCAGGTGATTCTGTCCTTGAGACTCCCTTGCATTCCACAGAAAGGCCAATCACTCCTCCTGACTAGTTATAACATTTGAGATGGTAGGAGAGGTCACTAATCCTTGGAATCTGAGCTAGCATAATCCTCAGGGCTTTCAGGAGAAACAAGTGACAACACAGTTTAATAGGCCAACTATTGGGGGCCTGGCCCTAGCTCAGTTCTTTTAAGTGGCTGCTTCCACAAAGCTGTCAGCCTCAGGTTGCTGTAGTTCAATCCCCACAGCACTCCAGCCAGCCAAAACTGCCCTGAATGCATTCGGACAAAAACAAAAAACAAAAAACAAAAACAAACAAACAAAAAAATCCTTAATAGGCCAACTATTAGGCACAGGCCTTGTTGGAGCACTCCACAGTTTGAGAAATATTTCTGAATGAGATGGCAAAGATGGGCTCCTTCCTTTGACAATATCACACTGTCCAAGGAGACAAACAGCATATTTTGAGTCAGTTGTTTGACCCTTCCATTCCCCCTTTTAGAAAGAATGCATGGTATTCAAAGAAGCTTGGAAATATTTTCATAGAAACTATCTGGTAAAATGAACTAAGAAGGATCAAGATGTGATGCATATTTTCAGTGTGTATTGCAAACATATAGTAATAAGAAAATAAGAACTTCCATAGAAAACTTGAAAGAACAAACCAGGGAATCTTGGCATTTGTAAATTGTCTCCATCGGGTGGGGGTGGGGGGAACTGTGGAGTCTTGGAATTGGATTGTTCTTTTGGCCCTGGACTTGGAAAATACCTACATTGTGTGCTGCTGAATATGATGAAATAAAGGAAGGACCTTAAGAGTGGGACCAAAAGCAAATGACAGTACAGCTCTGCAGCTATGTCTAATGTTTTTCCCTCTCTGCACCCCAATGTTGTCATCACTAATGAGACAGCCTTCTTAAGTGTGTATCTTACAGTGATCTCAGCCAATGAAATGGATCTTCTTCTCTTTGTTGCCAGGCACCAGAGAAACATCGGTCCACCCAGGCAAGTCATCCACGGGTTTCTTTCAACGTCACCAGTCCTCAGAAGGTCAGGAATGTAACTTTAGTGTAGTGAAGATGCGGGCTCCATTTTTCACTCCACTGACAAGTCATACTGAGATGACACTTCAGTCTTCTTTGTGCTGAGCCTGGGTGACAGCTTTGTCAACATTCCTGATTGGACCAAGTTGGAGTGCCACATTGGAACCATGCTACATAGCAACAGGAAAATCACTTTTCCCAGATTCCAAGTTGAATTTGACTTTTAAGATGTGTCATGGTTTTCATGAATTCCTTAAAAGTAAAATCTGCCAATTTGTAACAGTGATGTTTCTCATCACCCAACACTCCTGCTGGCCAGCTCAGTAAGTGGTTGGAAAGCCTGTGTTCTGCCATGGCTTATAAAATACTTTTAAATATATTAATGTAATATTTATGTGTCTTTAATAGGTAGGGGCATGAGTGCATATCATCTGTCAGTCAAGTAAGAGGATAAAAATTATGATCAGTCAGAACTCTAAAGCTCACCAGCAAATTGGCATTCAATGGGTTAAAAGTAAGACGTAGTTGAACAAGAGAAGCACATTCCTAGATATCTCAAGGTTGGTATGGACAAGAGGACAATCATTTCCAACTGCTTCTGTTTGGGGACTGCACTCGTCTCCTCAAATGAGCTAAATGTGAATTCTGTCTGGTTATGGGGGTGAAGTTCACATACTACAGGCATCATTTAAGAAAAAAAAAAAAGATACGCTTTAATAAAAATAAAAACTCCAAAAATGTTACCTTCTCAGCTCATTACTAAACAGATTATAGTTTAAAGAGTTGTGTGGTGTTTAGGGCTGGCCAGATAGCTCAGCAGAGTAAAACACCTGCTGAGACTGGGATTCAATCCCCCTGTGCCGTGCTGGCCCTGCCCTAGGGGCGTGCTGAAAGGGCAATTGAGACTAGTTGTGGTGGCGGGAGCCTGTAATTCCAGTGCTTAGAAGGCTGAAAACAGGAGGATCACTACAATTTTGATCTGTGTAGTGAAACCCTGTACACCCCATAGACCCTGTGCTAAAATTAAAAAAAAAAGTAAAAAAAAAAAAAAAAAAAAAAAAAAGACTTGTGGTGTTTAAAAATGAAGTATTTTCCAAGAAGGAAAACAGGAGATTTTTGTGGATAATGACCCCAGCTTTCTGGTTGTCTCTTACTCCTGCACATCTGGCCCATTAAAGTCAACATGAGTGCTGCTTTTTCCAAATACTACTCTTCATCTAGATACATTCAGTGACATTCACTGGCCACCCACACCTTCATATGTAAGCTGAAGGCAGAGCTATTACTTGCTAGAGTTCTGAACTGGTTGGCATAGATTTCTACTCTGGTTGATAATTAGTGGCTGCTCTGAGCCCCCTGATGCCAACCATGCTGTTGCTAAGGTGAATTTTGACTTTTTAAATGTGTCAAGATTTTGGCAATTTCCTTGGAGTTACAAAATAAAGGATGAAATTCATCCTGATGTTTCCCATTGCTCCTCTGCTCCTTTTTGCTAATCCAGTAAATGGGAGACAAGTCTTATGCTAGCATCATTTATAAAATACTTTAATGATTTTTTTTTAAGTATTTGTTACAGGGCCTCACTGTGTAGCATGGACTTGTAGTGATCCTCTTGTTTTCAGCCTCCCCAGAGCTGGGGTTATGGGCATGTACCACCATGCCCGGTCTTAGTGTGCCTGTGGTGGTGTTGGAGGGGGGGACGTGGCAGGGCATGTGGTGCCGGGGATTGAATCCCAGGCCCTGCGTTTGCCTAAGCAGGCGCTTACTCTGTTGAGCTATCTTGCCGGCCCATATTTTAGTGATCTTAAGTATCACTGGACCTCTTCCTGTGAGTCAGAGACTAACTCAAGGGCTACGTCTTTGCACAACGCTGCAAGGGAATTCTGTTCTGAATGGTAGCTGCTCATACGGTTCCATTCTGATTGGCTAGTGTTTATAAAGTATCTTTTCTTATTGGTCAGTGCTTATACAGTGTTTGTTCTGATTAGATGGTGTTCATGCCATTGAAAATGGTCTTCCACCAAATTGGCCCCTGGTACCAAATACATTTTAAAAAAGGCTGGGGATCTCTGACTTGGAGGGCAACACCAAATGATCTTTGTAAGTTTTCCCAATCTTACATGCTTGATAAATCACCCTGAAAATATGTTTCACTTATCAAACTGCAGGAATTATTTCAGTGTTATTGCTAAGATCTAAATATAGTTTTTCCCCTTCATTTAACCTTCAAAGTTCTATGTTAATGGTAGTAAGAGGGTGGAAAATCCTATTACGGTGTGCAGACATGGGGTTTTGAAAGTAATTAGATTAGATGATGCAATTAGAGCAGAGCCCTCCTGAATCCTGGGGGCTATGGGAGGAGAGGGAGATGACACAGAGGTGCACACACTGCTGCTGTGCTTTGCTAGCCAAGCAAACCCTGGCAAGAGCCAGAGCCCTACTTTTTGGACTTTCAGCCTTCAAAACTAAGTGCTACATAAACCTTCTTTATGACATAGGATCCCACAGGTATTTTGTTATAGTAACAAAAAGCAGACTAATATAGTCACTAATGAACAGGTTCTTTTTGCTATATCTTACTCCAAGAGAAGTTTCCTAAATGGATTCTGTGGGTAATTTTATTTCCTAAGAGGTAAGTGTGCTATTTGAACAGAATCTAATAATATATTGGGCTGGGGAGATGGCTCAGTAGAATAAGCGCTTGCCTGGCAAGCATAAGGTCCTGAGTTCAATCTCTGGTACTGAAGAAAAAAAAAGCATCTAATAATATACAAGAGCCACACATGACTATTGAAATTGAAATCGCTTCAGCTAACTGAGGCCACCATTTCCTTACTTGCACTAGCCGTATTGGCGGTGCTTGATTGTCACCTGTGACCAGTGGCTGCTGTACTGGACTCTGAAGATGACAGGTATGTATTGCTGCAGGAAGGTCTACAGACAATGCTGAGGAAAGCCAGCTATTTGGGCATGATCTTAATGTGTCACCAACAGACTCTTCCCTACAAACAGCAAGCTGTGTTTTCTTGGACATCTGTATGTACTCAGCCAGTTCATATTTAGGAATCCTGCAAATACCAAGGCAGCTCTCAACTGAAAGTGGTGTTTTGCTGAAGTGGTGAAGTCCTCTCTAGCTTTGCAGTGTAAAGGGCCAAGGCTGGTCCACCTGACCTGGGGTGAGGTGAGACCATCATAGCAGAACACTGTAATCAAAGTTGTTTCATGGTCAAGACGGATGAAGGTCTCTGCTGATGCATGGCTGAAGAGGCTGCACGTGTATTTAAACAGATATCTTAAAATTGTGTCAAATTCCCACCCAGGGAAAACATTTTTGCCCATCATTCCTGAGGTCCTTTGACTTTGCTTAATCTGCCATATTCCAAGCCTGCCCCATGAAGTCAAAACTTTTGCATAGTCTATTCAGAGTAGGACTCTCATGGCAATGTGAATACCCACCAAAGAACAGAAATCTTAAACAGAAGCACATCCTTTACTCAGTCTTGGAGTTTGAAAACTGCAATGGACATTAAAGTTAGGATGCATGTTTTTGAGAGTTAGAGGACATAAAAGGTGAATGACTGCTGTGGAGCATAGAAGAGATGCTACCGCAGTATCTAGACCTGGCATTTAAATGTTTGTGATGTCACTAGATATGAACACGCTCCCTGTGTAAAGATGGAAGGTCATACTCTGAAATCTTAGAAAGTTAGGGTTCTCTTGGTCAGATCTGTGGCAGCTTAACTTGCACTGTCTCATCCAGTTTGCCTCCCCCTTCTCATCTCCAGATATACAGCAGCTGCTGTGGTTGACTTGTAGCCTCTTATGTCACTTTCTTGTCTCCAGTGTTGCAGCTGTCCACCCCTTTGCTCTCAGGCACGGCTCAGAAGTCCTGTCAGGCCCCCGCCCCTCTAGGCGCTCCATCCTGCTTAGGGTTCAGGGAAACTGATGGGTGATGGTTCTTCCAGAGAAGCTGCAGAATGGTTGGGGGTGGCTGACCCTGCCCACTGTGGGCACACACCCTCGGCTCCCTGAGTTTGGGGACTCAGTGGCCAGCTCTGACTTTCAGTGCCAGTGCAGGTGTGGCTGGAAGACATGTGTGACCACTCACAATGTGGAACTGCTGCAGTCTGGAAGAGTGAACGGAACAAATCAAACAAGCAGGGGCCAAGAGGAGAAGCATTAACATGGTGACAAGGGGGCCTAGGGGACACAGGAACCAAGTGAGACTGGGAAAGGTGAGTGTCTCAGTTATTTTTCTCTTGTTGCTGGGACAAAATACCTGCCATTCAAAATTTAGGAAAGAAAGATTTATTTAGCTCACAATTAGTGAAGTTTTCATACTCAGCTGGCTCCAAGGCAGAGTGGCACATGGAAGAGGGAAGCTGTCCATGGTGGGGGGGAAACAGCAAATAGCAAGGAAGGAGCAGCAGCTAGCAAGCCTCTCTCCCTTCTTTATGTTGTATTCAGACTATCCACCCCAGGCTGGGTATAGCACTCACAGCCCTAATCCCGGCATTGGATCATGAATTAATCACAAACTCCAGAACCCTGCCCCAAGGACTGCATGAGGCTCAAGGGACAACTAGACAAAAACCATAATAGTGGCCTTCTTGCTGTAGGCATGGCACCTACTCTACAGCCTATCTCATTTTATGCCCTATGAACATGGGGGTTCAGCCCTCACAGAGGGCTGGAGGGAGAGTGGAATGAAAAGAAAGAAAACCAGGGTCAAGAGGTCTGGACAGCAATCCAGCAATGAGTTTATTTTGCATCAAGCTTATTATATACATAAAATCTTGATTCTATGCCTAACGTTTGTCATAGTTAACTCTTAAGCTTACTTATTTCACTGGGGCCACAATAGTTTCCCGGGACCAAGTTGATACACAGAAGCAACACTGAGTCCACTGTTGGGCCCATTGCCCAAACTGCAAGATAAGGAAGCTCAGCATGTTGCCACTTCTCTATTAGACTGTCTCTTCAACAAGGCCAAACCAATTTTGGGGTCTGGATTCCAACACATGAGCATGAGAACTGAGAAGCGTAAAATATCCCTCAATGGCAAAGCCTGAACCAGGCAGCCTTCCGCATGCTGGGCTCAGCCCCAGGGTGGAACATTCACCGTGTTTTCATAGAAGTGGTCTCACAAGGGCTACAATCCTCCTGGGATACAAGACCCTTTGAGACAGAACATTTGATGACATGATGGCAACATACAGTGTGGCTAACCACCACACTCTGCTCTGTCAGATGGGTGAAGCCTGTTGATCCAAAGCTCACACCTTGAGAAGCACCAGCATATCCTTCTCTTTGGCTTGTCTCCCAAACAGAAGGCCCAGTAAGAGGGCCACTCACACCGTCACTGTCTTCCTCCCTGAACATCACATGTCTGAGAAGGAAAAGTCATTAGAAAGTATGCACATATGGCAAATGCTCCCTGAATACCCCTCACTTTGTTCCTCCTCAGACTCCAGCATGAGCAGCAGTGTGAGGAAGGCAGGGAGAAGTGGTTTCTCCCTAAGGAAATCATCAGAAAACTTCCCTCCAAACTTCAGAAAACATGCCTACACTTACGACAAGAGACAGGCTGGATTGGGGAGATTAGCATTGCCACCTGTACTTTCAAGCTGTGATGCTGCTTGCCGACCCCACAGATGCCCCACGGATGCAGAAAGCAATGCTCCAATGAGTGTGGTGGATTGGGGCAGCAGGAATGCATCAGAGGGGGTAGAGGATATGGCTGCTTGGCCTGGTGGTTATACAGCTACATATGTTCCGTTACATTGCTCTCAGTTGAACAATCATAAGTGTAAAGTGCTCGTAGGTACAAAAGTGGAAGTGGTTGGTCTCAA